TATTTAATTGTGTATTTAATAAGTTAATTGTGTATTTAATGATTAAACAATGTTTTTAATATTTAAATGATGCATTTCATTATTATGTGTTTATTTTATTTCATTTTGTCACATTCAGTCCTCCATAATATGGAGGGTGGAATGTGTCCAAATTAAATAAATAAATACATCATGAAATAAATAAATGTAAATGTCTAATTAATTAAATAAATGTACAAATAAATGTACCATTAAATAATTCAATGTAATTATATAAAAAAAAACATTTAATAATTTTGCTGTGTATTTATGCATTCCACCCTCCATAGTCTTCAGTCGATTCTTTTGACAAATTAAATATGACATACAGTATATCTTACATTTTCATTAATTTTACAGAATTTACACGAATAATCTGTAATCTTAACAAAAAATAAATAAAAAAACAGCATTAATTATTTTATTTTATAACCCATCAACTAACTTCTACATAAAATAATGTTTTGGGGGCAATAATGTTTCTAATTTTAATACCTGTTATTTTACCTGCCTGTCGTGTAAAGCAATGAAAGATTTTAAGATGGAGAAAAGTGATGCGGGGTCTGTTTGTGTGTCCGTGTGCTTGATTAGAGGAGTTTTGATGGCCACGCCAGCTGCAACCTGTTTTACAATCAAGATCTTTTCAAAGACTTTGCCTCGTTTCTTTAACGCTGCCTGACTGAAGAGTCTGCAGATCGTTGGTATCTCTAAACTTTGAGCCAAGCTAAAAGTGAACATTCTGTACGGCTCTTTGCTGATCACTGACCTGATTGAGTCCTTTTGTTCTTTTCATTTCTGGTCCAATTTTCCACTCGCCTCCATTCTTCTGCTTCCAGAACCTGCTTCAGTTTCAACAGCTCAAAGTCCAAACCCAGCTCAGCTGCCTACCTCCCAATGCAGGAAACTGTCTTCCAACTGGACTCTTCCTATAGTTCTACTTTAGGTTCTCTTGCAGCATAATCCAAGACATTTTGGAATAATGTTTACTTTAAAGAAAAAAAGATGCATTTCAACATTTTGCCAACGTCACTGAAACTACAACTTATTAATCAGGCCAGGTTTTGTGTCTGTGAACTGAAACTCAAACGCATCCTGCTGAACTGTTGAACATCATAAATGAGGTAATTGAAACATGAAACGTGGAAAACTAGTTGAGATTTAACGAGTTATCTTTGGAGTCGTTTAGCTCATTTGATAGTCAAGAAACTCCAGTTTGAGCTCACAAGAGCACAGGACTTTCTTCCACTTGACCGTGGAGTCTTCCACATGCTGTTTGACAAATTACAGTGGAGATTTAATCTGAGTGGTTTTCTCTTCGCCACTCTCCCATAAAGCTTAGACCATTGAAAAACCAGGGCAACCGTTGCTGTATATATGTAAAGGCACTGTTTTTGTATGACAACCCAGTGACAAGGACATTTGAGTTGATCGTTAACATTGTATAACCACATATTGGGCTTCTGTTTTAAGTTATTTTTTTAATTTAAGAAACTGTCAAGTGTATTATCCATTAAATGCACAACTACTTATGCACGTTTCACTTGTTGATTGTGAACAGGTGGAGTTTAGATTTGTGAAAATTTACAAACTTGCACTCTTTGAGTGTTATTGTGTTAGAGAGAGTAAATGTCCTGAATAGATTTGACTTTAAACGTAATCCAAGTTGAAGTGTTGCATCATTTTCAGCCCCCTTTAAGACATCTGCTGTTGGAATCAGGTCAAGTTGACAAAGACCATGAAGAATAATGTAGTATTTTAATTCCACAGCAGAGAAAGCTATAGTCTCTGTAAGTAGATCTAGGGAAAAATATTGGTATTGGTATCAGTTATCGGCCAAATAAGTTTTAACAGATTGGCAGATCGGATATCGGCCCAGAATCCAATATCGAGCATCTCTACTAAGAACCCTAAAACTAAAGTGATATGCTTTTAAGTTAATATACTATTAACATTTCTGTATGCAATCATGAATTATCTTCTACAGCTGATTAGAAAAAATAAAATAAATATAATTTAGTCTTTTTTTTTGTCTATTTGGATTTGTTTTATTGAGATCTAGAAAAAAAGTTTATTAAAATAATAGGAATCGGTGAGTGGCTCCGAATCTTTTAGGCAGCAAATTAGTTAGAAGACTGCTTGGGAATTGTAAAACAAAGAATAAAATGTATAGATATTTCACCACCAACTGAGAGAATAGCAGTTAGTATGTTTTGATCAGTTGTTTTAGATTTTGACTCATTAAGGGAATCAGGCTCGGTTATAATTTGCAAGATTCGACTCACAAATGAGACATTCTAGTGGAAGAAATAAAGCATGCAGGTTCAAACAGGTTTTCATATTTTATTTTATTTCATGAAGTTAATTTAGTCCAGTTGTTCCTAAAGTTGGAGATGTGAAACACCAAGTGAGGTCTTGAGAAGATCTACAAAAATCAAATTAACTTACAAATCGTGTTTGTTATTCGCATTAACGGTTACAGAGAGAGATAAAACAGTAAAAAGTTAATAAAATGCTCGAGGGGATTCTTTATTAAATGGTTCATTTATGAACAAACAGTCGGGGTCACACGTCTCTGCAACTTTTATTCTGTGGCTTTAAAGCAGAGCAATCTGGGAACGTCTGACAGATCATTAGATCAGAAACAGAAATTCAGAACATTTACGTTTTTGTAAAACCACGTTTATTGTTGCACATGGGACTTTCCAGGCTGTAAACATTTTCATCCGTCGATGAAGAATATTAGAAATGTCCTCTGAAAGCAGCTAAACTACAGTTACAGTTTGTAAAGACAGGATCAGCACAATGGATTCAGTCAGTGCTGACCCTCCGGTAACCCCGTGTGTAGGAGGGGGGCCACGACAGGAAAGAGATATATAGATGCAGGATAGAAGGAAGAAGAAACAGAGTGAGAAGCAGAGAGAGAAACAGAATGAAGAAAGAAAGAGTATGAGAGAAAGAAGAACTTCTGGGACACAGAGAGAGGGACAAGGGGTGGGTGGGTGGGTTTCCCTGTCTCTCCCCACTCTCTCGCTCTGAGAAGTAAAACAGCTCTTTGAAGAGAAAGTGTGCAGAGCGGCCCTGCACCTTCACCGAGCTGCAGGAGTCCAACTTACAGCCGGCTGAGACCCTGACGGGACGCAGGCATGAACGACGTCAAGCTGGCTCTTCTGGGGAGCCAGGGGGCCGGGAAATCAGGTGCGTACTTCAAGCATCCAGAGAACAAACTATTGATCATTTTCTCATGTTCAGGCTTTACAACACAGAAGGTTAAGAGCTCACGCTGCAAATGTTAACAGTCACCATTTTGCAGTTTGTATCATTTAGTACCCAAAAGCTCATTTTCATGTAGTATGTTAAATGACGTGGGTTAAAATCAAATGAAATCTACTTTTTCTGTCTTTTTGACTAATTTCAAGACTATTCACTGCTTGATTCAAGTTCAAGTTACTTTAATGTCATTCGCATCACATGTGGCACATGAGGTGGAACTAAATTGTGTACTCAGGGTCCCAGTTCCACCCCAAAATAGCAAAAATATAAAGTATAAAAAGAAAGGATGTAAGATAGACACTAAGATAAACAATACAATAAATAATACGCTAAAAGATCTAAGATATATGCTAAACACCAACAATGTAAAATAATATGGTATATTCAACAGCAGCCCGAACATGAGTCTGTATGAATGAATACAGCAGCATGAGATCAGCAGCATGGGTAATCAGCAGCACAGATAAGCCTTACATCACCAATTACAGTGGTGATCGTGGTATCAGTAAAGTTATATCTTATCTTATTAATCATTTTAAAATTGTTTCAAGGAAAAAAAAAACATATCAAAATGGTCATTTAACACTAAGTTTTATGGTAAAGTCGTGTCAAACTTATTTGATTTGTGTTGAAATCCCAACTCAAAGATGACTGCTTCCCTATGAGGTGCTATCAAAGCAAAAAAAAAAAAAAGCTGTCATACTGAAGCAACATTAGCAAAAGAATGGTTGGCATAATTAGCTAAAATAATATAACCATGTGAATTACTGCTGATTAATATATGTTATTATAAGAATTAAGTAACATTTTAACAACTGATTAGTGACAGATGTCCAAGTTGACATATTCAGGTCCTCCTTCAAGTAATATTTATATTTTAAGAGGCTGGTCAGTGTCTGTAAATACACAGAAACCTTAAACTCTTAAAGTGTTGTTAAGATAATATAGAAAACTAAGTTGCATGCAGTGTATGTACTTTTGTTTAATTTTTTTTGGTTATTTTCCTCATGTTATTTCTTAGTTTGGGGTGAACTTTGTGTTGGCAGGTTCTTCATGTTGTTCAGTGAGACTGAGCTAAATTAAAACATGTAATTATGTAACTGTGGCTTTTGAAACAGAAAACAGCTGCATGTCAGTATTTTTGTGTCTCAAAACTCAGTTCAGACGTTTGGCTTGTCATTTTCTTAATTTAAAGCCCCATATTTTTAGCTCTGGTATTTTGGATTGTGCTTAACTTTGTCGAGGTTTTGTTCGCAGAACTTAAAACAACAAATAGAAAAATATTCTTATTTGAGACGGGCTGATTTTAACCAGAACACTCTTATGTATAAATGCAAATCCTGATCCATTCTCTGTTTTCAGATGGATGAATGTTTCATTGAAGATCAATGAGAGAGAAATTATTTGTACTGGCATTTCCCTCTCCAGATTCATGCACTTGGAAACTGCTACAACAAAAATGCATCAATGTTGTGTTTGAAGGGAGGACGTAGGTGGAATATCCGGAGGAGAAAACCCACACATGCACAAAGAGAACATGCAAAGTCCACCCAGAAAAGCCTCTGGTCAGGATCTCAACTGGGGCAACCTGCTTGCAGAGAAGCAGCAGCTCGACCAACTGAGCCACTGTGCTGCCATTTATATATATATATACATACATATATATATATATATATATATATTGGTGTATTTATGTTCATCAATGTGATTAATCAAAATCAGTTAAATGTGAACGTTACTGCTCTTTATTAAAAAAATCCACACGTCACATCTACATTTCAGGATCTGGTTATTAAAGACACAGATTAAATGTTAAATAGGAATATTTCTACATTCCTCACCACAGTAATAGTGTTACACACATTAGAAGCTCTCAGATGAATAGACACATGGCTGTATTGCTTATTTATAACCCAAACATTTAGGGAGTAAACATTTTTTAACAATCACGTGAAAAGTTACAAATGTTGTTTTTGGCGCCTGTTTGTTTTCCAAATATATTAATATGAACGACAGGCATCAACTTTGCAAAACGGTGCTTTGTGGTGTTCAGTCCATTGACCGGCAGATCTGCCACATCCAATATGGCGGACGCTGTGACGTACCGCTGTAATGGGCCAGCCTGCTCCTTGAGGCGTCTACGTATTTATGGCTCTGGTAGAACCCTCAGGAATAAGGTGGTAGATAGTTATTTCATCACAATTATAGTTTTATATTACCATCATTACCTGGACAAATTCCATTTCCTAGCATTATCCCTACCACACCTATACGCCTGGATCTATACTCTTTAAACCCTTCATTAAGTTGCAAGGAGTATTGGTTCCACAGTGAAATGGGACACCCCTTAAACAATGTCAAATCCCCTTGGATTGTGGTCAATTGCTTTAGCGAATAGATGCAGTCAATATGCACTGTGTGAAATAAAGCCATCAACAGGTTTTCCATAAAAGCTTGTTTTTGATGCTAATCAGGGACGGATAATGAAATCAAACATAAACGTCACAATACACTAAAAAAGATATTTGTATGTTTGTTGAGAAAATAAAACATTTTAAATGGAGATCTATGACACTGCTGTGACCATTTTAATGACTGCTCAGAATAACTGACAGAGATAAACATACTTCAAGCTAAATATCTTACATTTGTGAGTTTGTTTCTATGCAAGCAGAGCTCACCCTTGTTCTTTTCAAAGCGTGACACCTTTTCACGAGCTGTCCACTTGACAAATCTGGTTTAGTTCTTTAGAATTTCCCAGGACAGACTTTGCGGTCACAACTTAAATTTTCTGGGCCAGGTACATTTCAGGGCGAGTGCCGACCAGCTTAGGGCAGATGGTGAAGGAAGACTCAGGCGATGCTCAGTCTTGGCGATGATGGCTCAGATGATGGTTGACTGCGTGTTTTCCAGAACAATGGGATGTCTCAGTTCTCGCGGCCTGGCACGTGCACCAGAGCTCTGGAGTTTGTTTGTGCATGCTTGCTCATTTATTTCAATTTATGCTCTGGTTGCTGCGTTCAGTGGGTGTCTTGTTTTATTCTTCAGACGTCACGTCTATGCCTGGTGATGGCACCACAATGTGCTGTTGAGTTCCATGAGCGGAAAGTCCTTTGTTTTGTTTTTTTATTAATCATGTGCATGCATGATTCATTTCAATTAAATACAGTGTCTACATTAATATAACTGAACTATATGCTCTGTCCAACCCCTCTGCAGGCCCACCATCAGTAAAGGTCAGCACTGAGAAGGCTGGTAACTGAAACTAATTGTCTGTGGGACAAAAACTGGTCCAGTCTATCAGTCAGTCAATTTTATGTGCAGCTTGTAACGTTGAGGCAAACAGAGGGGGAATATGACCATTCATTTAGCCAAACGTGCAACAGAGCTTCCAGCAAAGCCACAACACCTTTCATGTGCAGCTTAAGTTTCTGCACAACAATCCCACAGTCTGTTGGCACTGCGAGAATTAACGAGGCTCTTTTATTTCCCCCACTGTTGCCACCTGTGAGGAATGAGACGCTGATCATGCCATGATTGATTTTCTTGTTTTCATTTCATCTGTTTCCCCCAGCTGTCCTTGTGAGGTTTTTGACCAGACGATTCATCGGTGAATATGCCTCCAATGCCAGTAAGTGTTTCCAGATTTGGCAAAAATTATACTTTGATGGGGGTTTTGGTTTAATAGGAAAAATATGCACAAACATGGCAGCACTGTGGCGCAGTTGGTAGAGCTGTTGCTTCTCAGCGAGAAGGTCACTGGATCAAATCCTGGCTGGGATCTTTCTGGGTGGAGGTTGCATGTTCTCTCCGTGCTGCGTGGGTTTTCTCGAGGTACTCCAATTTCCTCCCACAGACCAAAAACATGCATGTTAGACTGATTGGTAACTCTAAATTGTCCCTAGGTGAGTGAGAGGGTGAGTGGTTGTTTGTCTCGTTCGTCTCTATGTGTCCCTGTGATGGACTGGAGACCCGTCCAAGGTGTCCCCAGTGGTGTAGTCTACATTTTTGTAGTGGGTATACTGTGCTTAGAAACCAAAGTACACTGGTTAGTACAATGTAATCGTCAATTTGTTTAGATTTTTAAGCATATTGGACATTTCAAAATTTCTCTGATGCTTATATTTGAATAAATGGACAACAAACTTTGTGCAACAGCAGGCTTTGTATTAAAAACATGTTATAGAATGTATGAAAATGTATCAAGGCAAAACATGTTTAAGTATTAAGTAGAAAGTACAGATGTATTAGTTATTATACCAAAAACAGGTTGAACCAACTCAACGTGTCCATAAAATGTTCCAAATGTGTTGACGATGACACGTGCCCAGTGGTATGTCATGTATCATTGGGAACTTTTAGGTGAGTATTCTGAAATTCCCAAGGTTTTCTAACGGGTATACTCTGTATACCCACGTATCACATTTATTACACCACTGGGTGTCCCCCACCTCTCGCAATGACTGCTGGATATGGGCACCAGTGACCCGAAAAGGAAGAAGCGGGTAAAGATAATGGATGAATGGAGGGATATATGCACCAACACCCATAGATGTTGCTTCTCAAACACTTCTTGTTTGTTTCATACAAATTCAAGATTTGTCTTTGAGAAACAAACAAAAAAAATCAATATTTGATGTACCAAGACATTTGAAATTTAATCTTTTGATTTGGCACAACACATCTCCTCCCGGTAGAGTTGCATTTGGGCCCAAAAAATCTGATCCGACCTGGCCCCAGCCCGTAGCCATCATTTCCGAACCCCATCCGACCCAACGAATTAACAGTAATTACAGGTCCGAACCCCGCCTGACATATTTTATTAAGCTTTGATCGCTTATATAGTTATTAACTGTCGGCGGACACGTGCGGCTGAATAAAAGGGGCAGAAGATCGGGGCTATGGGGGTGTTTGTCCTTTCATGGCCGTCAAAGCGCATTCAATCCCTGTTTCTGCCTGCATTCTGATTTATTCAGACACGGACTGCTCTGACACGTCTGCTTTGGGATCTCACCTGTTTGGGTTGTTGGCCACGCATGTCCGCTGAGTGCAGCGGCTGAATGAACGCCCATTTGGGTGATGGATCGCTTCCTGGCAGTACAGTCCCATCTGAAGTTAAACTGAACTTTTTGTCTCTTTCAAGGCCGGTCAGCTCGCGGTGAAATGGCCACATGTGTGATTGTATGACAAGCCATGTTGCCATATATTTGGAATGTATGACAAGCCATGTTACCATATAATTGGATCGTGGCTCATCCGCTGATGCAATCAAAAGCCTGACACTGACCCAGCCTGCCCATCCATCACATTATCATGGCCTGGGCCCGAATTTGGGTTAGAGTGAGAATGGTTATATGTCTTTATATGTCTCTGTGTTGGAGATCTGTCCTGGGTGTCCCCCGCCTCTCTCACAGTGACTGCTGGAGCTAGACACCAGCTCCATGTAACCTGGAAAGTAAGAAGTAGGTTAACAAAATGAATGGATAAATGATTTATTATGGTAATTTTGTAGTCTGATTAAAGTTGAAACAATTACCAAACACAAAATAGACATGCCGCATGAAACGCCAGTTCACTTATGTCCATTGTTGTCATCCTTCTTTGTTAAAATTCAGGTCTCTCTTGTAAATGAGTCCCCGAGGCTCAATGGGATTAACCTGTATATAAAAAAAGGTTGAATGAATTCATAATTTTTGTCTGTTTTGAATCTTTATTGCAGATTCTCTCTACCATAAAAGGCTTTCAATTGATGGCAGGCAGCTGAATTTGGAGATTTTTGACCCCTGCTCTCAGGTACAAACTTATCTGAACTAGTTTTAGTGCTAAAATGTTTGATTGGGAAAAATAAACTGTGGCAGGACTCAAAGCGTTCCTGTTAATATTTTGTTTTTTGTCTCATCTGGCAGACTGAAACTCAACGGCTGCCGTTATTTTATAGTAAACTCTGCGTTTTTTCAGTCTTTTGATTTTAGCACTTACTGCATGAAAGGCCTCCCAATGCGTGAGCTTTTTATTACTTTTATTTGTGAAACACATACACGCAAACGTTAAGAAATGTAAAACCTACGTCCTGTTGTTAATCATTTCTGAGTGTCAAACACCAACACAGACCATAACTTTTATTAATTTCCTTCTGACCATGTCGTGGATGACACGGTGTGTCTGCAAAGAATTTGACACAACAGCAGAACAACGCTGGCTGCTTTTCAGGCTGCAGGGAAGCTGCACATGCCCCTGACCTTTAGCAAGCTGTGGTCATATATTTACTGGCACGTGTACAATCTGGTGCTTTTAAGATGGGAATCCAGAAGGTTTATGAAGGTATCCCAAGGCAATTTAAGCTTATAGTCTGTGCTTTTTTTTTTTTTTTTTTTTAAGAAGAGGCCCATAACTTTACTTACTTTTCTTCCATCGGGACAAAAGACCTGAGATGCCTTTTACTAGACGTCAGTATTTTACTGGAATCCTCCTGGGCTCAGCAGAATAAGAGCTGGTCATTGTCTTTGCCAGTTGGACTCCTTTTAGCGCCTCCCGTTCGTAACAAAACTATGAAGGTAATAAAGAGAACAGGTTTAAACTGGTATTTACAGTCTCGTGCCTCACGTCTCAATTTTTTAACGCCAGTTATTTCTCCTCAAGGTCAGTGTGTTCAGTCTTAGCCCATATGTTACATTAAGTGTTTCAATTTCCCTTTGAAATACTTTCAAGCACATCAGAAAGCACCTTCAGTACTCCATTAATTTTTCGCTCAAGGTCAAGCATGCAGCCGTAAATCCTTCTTGATCTGATGTTCTTTGGAAATCAGTGGATTTGTACTCACTGCACGGGAAAACCAGCCAATTAGGTTCATCACATACTGTACATGATATTATAATCAATCAACCTTAAGGATGACGACTTGCCAAATTTCATGTAACATTTCACAGAACTGAGTTTGTGTACAACTCAATTCTGATTTTATTTTCTTTCGGCAGCCTGAATTAATTAAGATTTTCATGCATACATACACATTCAACATAAAAGCACACCTATTTTTATTTTAATTTTTGGCAGAGCTCAGAGGCCAGGTGCATACTGGAGGAGCCGGTGGACTGGGCAGATGGCTTTGTGGTGGTTTACAACATCAGCGACTGCACCTCCTTCATCAACGCCAAAAGCATCCTGCGGCAAATCAGGGAGGCACGTGCGGACAACTGCAAAGGGTGAGAAGAAGCTAAATTTAACAAGCTGAGACCCCGTCTCTCGCACAGTGACTGCTGGATACGGGCACCAGTGACCCCCATGACCCGAAAAGGAAGAAGCGAGTAAAAGATAATGGATGGAGATACCAAGTTGTGAATTGTTCCGAACGTTTTAATTGGTCTTTTTACTAAATTAAAAGTTATTTGGCAATTCAAAGCCTCTTGAAGATAAAATGGAGCGACAAGAACGGGGTTTTGGATCAGCACACAACACCAAACACCAGGAATGGTTTAAAATGTTTATTTTTATTGCAGCTTCTGGTGGAGGTCAGGGCCCAGGTGGGGGTTCAGTCTGTAGAGAGAGACAGGTTAGTAACTATGAAGCGGACGAGGAGTTTTGAGACTTGCTATGAATGTCACTAAGCTTCTCAGTCTGTGGTTGGGCAAGAGCTGTAGAAGCGCTGAACCTGGTGACGTCACTTGTGCAGTGAGAGCTGCAACAGAGCAGACCATGGTGCTGAGCGTGGTCCGGGGAGGGCAGGTCCAGAAACAGGGTCCAGTAAACGTTGCAGGGGTCATACACAAAAGATCAGAGAGCAGATACCAGAACCAGAACGTGATCCAAAGGCGTAGTCGAAGGAGGAGAAAGATAAGGTCGGTACCGTGGTCAGACGAAGCAGATAAATCCAGAAAGGGCAAGGCAAGGCGAGGAGTCAAGAAACAAGGCTGAGGTTCAAGGTCAGGAATCAGAACAAGGGACGCTGGATTTCTGCTGGCAAAAAGCTTTCAATAATCTGGCACTGAGTGGGAGATGAGCTGGGCTTAAGAAGGGGGCGGAGCAGGTGAACATGATGAGAGCTGATGGCTGTGACAGGGCAGAGTAGGCGTGGTGCAGGGTGACAGGAGCTGAGGATGGGTGACAGGCAACACTGAACATGGAGATAGACGATGAGGAGAGCATGGCAACATAACCAAACAAAATGTGGAAGGATGGAGGAAAAAAAGTGACACTGGAGCGTTTGTGCAATAACTCTCTAAACTTTTTACCAGACACAAGATCTGTCTGATGGTATCAAAGTAAATCTTTTCACCGTTGGACCCTAAGGAGTAAGAAAGCTTCTTTATAACAGCTGAAATTTTAAAAAGGCATTGGAAATAATCCTGATAATGATATGATGCAGCTCTCAAGCTGACCTTTTGGTTGATGTGAAAATATTTTCACAATAAAAGAAAGCAATTTCTCTGACTTATCAACATCTACAACCCCAGACTTTTTGAAAACATGGTAGAAAGACAGCAGAAAGCATTTCTGAGGCTGAACAGGGATCTGTGTGCGGGTTTGAGACGGAGGAATGCTGGGAGTTCTGACTGAGCCTTCTGAATGATGACATGATGACAAGTGAGGGTTTCACTGCAAACACACAGGCATCTACAGAATCTGACGTGCTGAAAAAATAGGCCATCCACATCTGTCAGGCTGCCTCCTCTGTGCCAAGACATCCTGCAAAACGAGAGGGAAGAGGTGTGCAGCGTGTTAGGGAGTACACAGAGATCCGCTAGGTGTAGTTGAGATAAGGAGAGCAGAATGTGAATTATTTGTGTGTTATGACAACGGAAAACATGTTTTACTCATAAAAGAGATAGATGTGTATTCCCTCTGGAACCATTTGGAAAGTATTTCCAAAATGGGAGCTGTGTCAACGGCACTTTTTCAATTAAAAGATCACAATCATGCATTGAGGATACCCATTAAATTAATTCTTGTTCACGGGTACATTTTTCCAGTAACACTTTACAATAAGGTACACAAATTTTGATTAACTACTGGGGAACGCCACAGGAATGAATCAGGAGCTAATGGGTAGTTAATCCGTACTTACTGGGGAACACACAGCCAAGCCTTATTAGGGGACTACTGGTTTGTTACCACAGAAACGGAGGAGAAATTCTCCATGTGGGTTCTGAATAAACCCTGCACCAGTGAGGTCACAGCTCGTAATTGTCAATAACCTGTTTCCTAGTGGTTACTGATTTTATTGGATTATCTCTTTTGTAAACCTACTGATGAAAAACATTACACATTTCATAATATTATACTGCTGTCGTCTTAACCATGTTTCTGTGGTAACAAACCAGTAGTCCCCTAATGAGGCTTGGCTGTGTGTTCCCCAGTAGGTACTGATTAACTACCCATTAGCTCCTAATTTGTTCCTGATTAATTCCTCTTTGGGTTCCATGGTAACTACCCATTAGTTCTTGATTAGTTCCTCT